AAATACCAGATCCGCGTAGCATTACACCACTGAAACCTAAATTTAATGCATCTTTAGCTGAAACAGTACTAATATCTACTAATCTTTGTTTCCAAATTCGATTATTGGTTAGCATCTCTTCAATTTCATCTAATCTTGTATTGGGCAAGGGGATACGGGCGGCCTGGTCCAATTTGACCCGGAATCTGTCAGTATATTTGTTCTTGCATAGTTCATAAATAAAATCATGGAAAAAGAGAACTTCCCGACAGGTGGATAAGCTCTTGATCAGCTATCCGGTAAATAATGGCTACCTTTACTTTAAAGTCAATAAAGTTCTAGTAAAATGAACTTTGCGCAATTTATTCTATTGCATGGGCAAAAATTGCTTGATATCTTGGAACCTTGTTGAGTTGCGATGCTGGCTACTCCATAATTTTTGTACTTCATCCAGACTAAACGTGTATTTACATACTTGATATAAAAGCTCACCAGAAGCTTCTATTTCGAGACAATACTGACTTTCCATCGGCGGTTTTTTATTTTTTGGCCGTCTTTTTTCTATCTATCATTTCTTGGCGGTTCTTGGTCGTTTTTTGCAGCACTAAAAAAGTCATGAAACTCAACAGCTACTGCGAGTTATGACGTAATTTTCAGTGAGGTCGTGTCTTAACAAGCTCTAAACGATCCCGTCGGCTTGATTTTGCTCACGGACCAAAGAATCACTTTAAAACGAAATATTAACCAAATATCAGACTTCTGGGGAATCTATATAAAGATTTCTTCCAATGGAAAAAAATATCGGGTCAATTGCAATCGTAAAATACAATTTATGTTCGAGAATTGTTTACGGTATACGGTACGTTTCAACGCCTTCCTGTCCCAATATCTTTTCCATACCGTTAATGTCTTGCTGCGTGACACCCCATATTCATTTTATCCGCCGTGTTCTCGGGACGCGACTTTTCCGTTCAGCACCAATTTCTACCATGACTGATAATCAGCTTGATAATTCCTGTAGTGCGTCTCAAGGTATTGCCACGTTCGCTGCTGGCTGCTTCTGGGGCGTTCAATTGGCTTTCGATCGTCTTCCAGGCGTGTTAGAGACCTCAGTAGGGTATACACAAGGTGATGTTGACAATCCAACGTACCGTCAAGTCTGTACAGGTCGTACGAATCACGCAGAGGCTATTCGAATCGTATACGACGAGTCACATACGAGTTATGAGTCGCTGCTTCGCAAGTTTTGGGCCATTCACGATCCCACGACACTCAATCGTCAAAAAAACGATATCGGCTCGCAATATCGCTCGGGAATCTATTATCATAATGAAGAACAACGCAAAGTAGCGCTAGCATCGAAGGAGGAGTATCAAAAAAAATGTAGCAAGCCGATTGTGACAGAAATTATGGAAGCCAAACAATTTTGGGTCGCTGAGGTTTACCACCAAAAATACCTTGAAAAAGGTGGACAATGTGCAGACAAAGGCTGTGACATACCAATTCGCTGTTACGGCTAGCGTGCTGCATAATGTAAGGCCAAAGTTTTGAAGATAAGCTCGTTATTTGCTAGCAAAGAATTCGATACTTTTTGTATTCTTTTGTTTGTCAAAAATATAAAAATCATAGAACAATAAGGAGCAAAAAGAATTGCATTGTCTCTTACTTGATTCGAATGGTTCAAGTGTTACGAACTTAGCGTCGAATACTTTCAATAAGCTTGTAAAAGCCTTTCGTGGTTACGCGTTTGCCAGCGGATAGAAAGCGATCAGATAGGTTTGCATCTTGCCACTCTTTCCAAATGCCATATTGCATTGCTTGTGCATGCTTCTCTGCTGCCTGAAGTTTTCTTAATTTTTGTGCCAGAGATGAAATTGCAAATACTCTAGACGAAATAGTTAGCATTCGAACCCAATTAGCAAGAATTAGAAGTATTGCTTACGAATCATAGCTTTCCAGATTTTCAGAAATGCATTCAGCGTAACCACGAGTAACTAATTCGTAAGCCAAGTCTCGTCTCAGAGGTGGCTGCAAAACAAGACAGCAGCGTAGCTTTAGCGCGATAAGTCATCAACGCCCTTCGGAAGTGAAAAAGAGCAACGAACCCTTCGCAGCGCAATATTACAAATCGCCACACTTTTGCTTCCTTCTAAATTAATTCTGTCGAATGTAGCAAAGCTTAAATCAAAAACAATCTGTCTAGCATCAAAAGCATGAACTCACCGTCGTAGCAACTCAACCGTCATGTATCGATGCGTCGATAACAAGTTGGACAGAATCCATTCCTCTGCACTCTCATCTACTTGCACACCAAAGAGCCGAACAGCAAGTAAATTGCTTTCGTTCTTCTCGATGCTCTTACTATCTGTTAAATGTAGTGGCATCACGTCATTCAGAACGAAACGACGGAAAAAGGGTGTATGATATACGTAAAATATGCTCGGGTCTTGTTTCGACTGATTAATCATGCGCACACGTAGCTTTTTGCGCCTCGCAAACTGCCAACATGGAATCTCCTCGACATAATTCAAACGTTTAAACACACCACTGAGTTTGATAGAAGTCACAGCTGCCACAGCTAGTGTGACTATCAGGCCTGCGCGAAACAATGTCAGATGGGAATCGATTGTCTGCTGCGTGTCTGTTATAAATCTTCCAAGATTGCGGCGCAATCCTCTGTCCTTATTCATGCCACTTCTCTCAGACGACGGGGACTGCTGCATATTTCTGTCATCTTTAGATCGCACAGGTGCACACTGTGATTTGTCTGTTGTAATACTCTCAGGAGAGACTACCATGTTAATGAAGCGCTTCTATAGTATGGCATTATCTCCCTTTAGTGACATCGTTGAAGTAATTTCCTTGCAATTTCTTCAAAGCAATATGGAGGGATACGAAGATACGCAATTTTAATTGAAGACATTAACTAATTAAAATGGCGTGAGAATGCCTATACTTTCTCCATTGCTGGAATTCGGAAGCACTAAAACTACATTCTAGATAATGACTAACAAATATTATTGATACAGAACTGGTAAATGTTTATCCATGAAGGATTTCTGATGGGAATAATGTTAAAAATTAACACTGTGGTCGCGATTCGTAACTTTATACTGTGATGAGAAAATACGATCGCAAGACAAAGTACAGTTTCGAAACTTAAACGAGGCTTTGAAGCACATAAATTGTCACGCCCGCGCATCAAAAGCCAGTGATAATGGCTTGTTCTTGTTTTATTTGGCCGTCATAGTTAACAGTGATGCCATGACTTGCGAAAGCTATCGTGATAGCTGGATCTTTTGATATCCTTTTTGATCATCTCAAGCATTCAATAATTATTCGTTTTATGAACATCAAAAAAGTAGACAAAGCTATTTTATCAATCGAATACTATAGATTGCTTACCACAAGTTTTATATATAATCAAGGTTAGCCAGAGCGATATCCTTAAAATACGTAACGGTACAAGCCCAGAGATAGGCACTTAGATCTCGAGGACGAGTCTGGTTCTTTTATAATAATGTTCAATTCACACTAATTCTCGAACGTTATGATAGAGCACATAACAAATATGATTATGCCCAAGTTGACCGAAAGCCTTCCACAGCTGTAGGTAGATTTCTAAACAACACATAAACAATTTTGAGTATTGTTTAGCCTATATTGACTTTAGAGCATCATAGCTTCAAACATGAATATCCTCTAAGAAGCACTCGAATTCTACACGGCATTTCCCAACGTTGTAGCGTTGGATTTTGGAACTGGATCCACTGGTATTCTTGAACTCACTTACGATATTGCTGCCATTCGCGCTGAATTAGCAGTGGACTATATTTACACTGGCTTTAAATAGCTGCACTGGCCCTGTGAACGAACACCACTTGTTCGAATTGAGCAGGTATTTTAATGAAAATCATTTTGCAATTCTCTCCATCGAGCCAGCGAAGTGCCAACCACTACGCACATCCCTTGCCGTTTGCACTTCTATTACGCCATTTCGCTGAGTTAAACGTTTTCTTCTCTTGATTATTCAAAAATCGATATGAGAGCAGCCAACATCAACAACGCCAAGAATAACACCGATCCTATTGCATCAGCCTATCAAAATCAGGATTTACTCACATTCAAGCACGAGACCGAGCCCGGAAACGTGGTGAACAAGAACGATGAGACTTCTACCAAACACCATTACTTTGGCAAATGTCAATATAAGACTGGCAAGTGCTTTAACGAGCGAACCCTTAAGCGCAATGGTGAAGCCCATTCACTTTGCGAGGAGCATCGAATCAAACAAAATATGATTCAGCGACGCAGCGACAGGAAGTACCAGACAGTTCACGCAATTCGTCGTCGCGAACGTTCACAGCGCCGCGCTGTACTGAAAAAGCAAGTCTCAATGGCGGTAGCTCAGCAGCTCTTTTATGAGCACCAACAGCAAAAAACTTTGGGTATTCCATTGCCACAACACCACCCGCTTCATTTGTTGACAGTTAATGCAAAAAGTGATGCTTCCGCGGTTTCTGGTGGAAGTCTAAGTATTGAAGTGCCTATCCAGTCCCCATTGTCGCCGTTAGCACCTCACTCAGAAAGCGGTGGTGCTGAGCGTACCACAGCGTTTCATTGCCTTGCAAATGCATCAACAAAAGTGCCATTAACGGCCGTCAAGGATTCGTCAACGTATAAAAGCGTGTTTAATTCGTCTCCGTGCTCATTCTTAGGTATCGCTGTGCCTTTAACCCACAGCTTAACGACTTTGCAAGATCAGATGGTGGTTCGCAGTAAGGCCAGTGATAGTCTTGGATACGTACCTCCCGTGTCGTGCCTTGGAGACAAGGAAGCATGGAGCGATGACGATATCGAATTTCTTCATACCGTTCTTTTGACGTAGTGAGAGGTGCTGTACAGTAGATGAAGCCCGTCGGCTCATGCTTAAACAAGTATTATAGTGCAAAATTTGCCGGCAAAATGTTGCTGAGTTCCGAAGAATGCAATTTCAGCACAAAGGTGACTGCATGAAGTTGTTAGAACCAAAGTTTTGATTGGCTTGATAAATGGAAATACTGAATTTGTTCGTTTCGTCGTTTGTTAATTTTAATGTAATGTAATTGAGTGAGTTCTACAGTCAAAGGATACACGAAATTGTAGGGGTCCAACCTTGTCCACAATATCTTCATGAGGACATTTCTTAATGCAGAGTCCTTGCCTATCTACGATTGCTGATTGCTTCAAAGGTAGCCTACGGAACCAGGATACTGTATCTACTGAGACAGTGTACACCATTTTTTTACTTAAGTAGAATGGCAACCAATGGTTAAGTATCCGGCTCAATGATTTGTAAGGATAATAGCTGTAAAAGCTTGAGGCAATAATCAGAGACATGTATTTTTTATTTGCTGAGCGTTTGCTGTCAAAACAATTGGCTCTCTGCCGAGACTGGCACCTGCTCAGATCTTTCGGAAGTTTTACAATCAACACAAGGACTTATAAAACTAAAGGATTACGACAAGTAAAATAATATTTATTACAATCCAGAAAACACTTCGCAAAGTAGTGACAGTCACTTTAATTTCTTCTAGCGCTCATTGTAACATGTTTCAGCCGCACATACATGGTCTATCTGCTGTAGAGCTCAGCAACGCACAATGTTAGTAGCTCTCATAATATTTACATCCGCTTTGTTCAAGCACTCAAACACCCTTAGTTAAAACGTTATCGTTTGTGAGTTTTGATGTCATATATACTTCAGAAGATAATTAGCCCCGGTTTTTGTTTTCAATCTAATAAAACTGGTATGCGGTAGAGCAATGCTAGATTTATCTTATCTTATCATCACATTATCATTTGAGTATTTCGCAATCAGAACCCAGCCAACCAAAAATACCCTAGCCTTCTTACGTATCTGGATATCGTAAAGCTACTGAGCTACGTAGACGCGAGACGTAGCCACCAACGATAACAGCACCCAGGCATTCTGTCTGTTTCTGAAGAAAGTTTTCGGATATCACAGATGTTTGATTCTAGAGCTGTAAAGCATATGTTCAATAAAGTTTATAACAGCAAATCTGCAGCAATGATCACAATATAAACGGGACTATGTCGTGTGTTGACACATAAAGCCAGTTTATGAGAAATGATGCTATTTAGTCCTGGTCTAGAAATAATTGATTCCAAATCCGGGCTCACATTTGCGGGGAGGTACTGGATTCAAAATCCATAGGATCCGAACCAGAAAGGGGGCAAACAATCACACCTTAGAATGTATCCAACCTGTCTATCCGCACCCAAATGGATGTGTGGTGGCTGGGTGGACTGGAGGCCCACTGGCAGAAAAGCCCCATAGTATAATTAGGGTACGGAACACAAAAAGTGTCGGATAGCTACCAGTATTCCGCGATATAGTAAGATCAATCCTGGCGCATGAGTTCCGATAGCTTGCACCTCTCTAGATATGATTGATCCAAATATTATTAAAGCAACAAGGGACTAGTTGCCGCGAAGGCTTTAAGTTCCGCTCCCGAGTGGAGCGTACGAGTTCATCTCTGTGCGTTTCTCAATGCGGATTCTTTGCTTAAGACCTTCCTCTGTGCAAGATGCACGGCAATCCGGTTGGGCATGCAGCACTTGTAATCGATCCCACGACCGAGTCGTGAAAGGGGGTATCCTCTTTAGGTGTAGATCATAAGATGTCTAAATGCCTGCCATCGGAACGACTGAACACGATTGAAAAGGTCGATTGCTGGTCTCGAATAGGCCACGGAGCTAGCGGCCCTCGGGTCAGATACGGTAATAACTCGCCTGGTGACGTTCATCAATTATGACAACGCGCTGGTAAGACACATCATGGAGCGCCTCAATCGGGCGCCGGTGAGGCAAATGATAATACCCACCGTGATGCCGATTCAAGATATCTCTTTGAGGACAAGAACGGAGAAAACGTAATGGGGTAAGTACTGTAATGTCCTGTAATTTCATCGTACACTTTAAACAGTTGTATCAGTACAATCCGGTCCAATTGTACAAAATCACTTTGGTGTAATTCGAATTCTCATACCTACGAATTGTTAGTATTTATAAAGAATATGAAGTCTAGGAAAGGAGAGGCTGAAGATACATTGGTAGCTGCAAGTCCGACAACGGATACCGTGTGATAGTCAACGTATTCCTTGATATCAAGCCAAAATAAAGATAGTTGACTCTACGTATATGTTCTCCTGAATTTGCAGAGCAAACCAGATGACTTGCCACAATCGAGGCTCACATTTTCGCTCCTGTTTGATGCGTACAATCCTGCCCACTGTGCGTTTGCTAAATTTAATGCTTTGAGTCGAGGCTTCGTCTATGCGCTTTGCTTGCAGCCCGATATACTTTGTGACACTTGTGGTCAACCCAACGACAGGTCGCTAATCGGCTGTACGCTATGCGGGATTGGAACGTGAAAAGGTCGAGCACCTACTTTCGGATCAACTAGAGTGAATCTTTGTCTATCGTCACCCAATACACAATCAGGGAGCTGGCGGCCAAAGGTCCAGATAGGGCAATTTCTCTAAGGCTTTCACCAGCTACGAGGATACGCTGGCGAACCAAGAGCGTTTAACCTGGGTGTCGGTGGGAACAGATGGTACACACAATGAGGGGGTTGCTTTGAGCGTACTATTCATTGAGGGTTGAGACAGATAAAATCTGTATATCTAGTCGAGGATTGTTGGGGATCATGAATTTAGTCATACTCCAGATAGAGCAAGTCACACTTGCGGTTCCGAAGCTAGAAGACCACGCGCAAGAATAAACACAAACGTATAATATTTCATTCACAGAAAATTGCACTGCGCGGGAAATCATAATGTAGTTAATGTCGTGAGTGTTTGCACAGCATAACCAGACCTGTCCAGTACATTTAAATGTCCTGTCTACCCCCGAACAAGTTCCAGAAGTAGAGCTTTTTCATCTTCACAATGGCACAAAATATGATTTTGGAGGCGGTAGCATTTACCGTTTCCATGAAGGGTTTTCTAGCTGGTGTGACTCGCTCCGAAATTCTCGACATTCACCCTCCCTCGTTCAAGGAAGAGGTGTGTACACAGAGTAATACTTTCGTACAGTGAGGGTTAAAGGAGCAGTTCTATGAGTAAGCCAAATTCGATGAACAACAAACATTATGAGAAGAAAAAGTTTTAAGTTGCTGAGCTGCTCTGCGGTACTCACAAAGGTTTTTGTCGAGTTTGTCGCTGTCATAATATAATACATCTACGCATTGCGTGTCGCATTCTCTCTCAGCTCAGTTGTACGAAGGGCCAGTCACATGCGCACTGTTGCCCTATGAACTCCTCGAGTATTGGACTAGTGGCAAAAAACCATATCCATATTAAACATAGTTTTTTTAAATAATGGAGGTCACACCTTTCACGAAGAGCACAAAACATATGTGGTCACGAGAAACGGCCCTAGATGAACTGATCCTTCTGAAGGAAAGCGAGGCTCACAGCTTAACGTTCGCGATTGTTGACATTACACCCTCGCCTTTGCGAAGATATGAATGTTCAAATAGACTTTTTGTGTCGTGCAATTAGAGACTGTCGATACTTCCGGTAATACCATATTGTAGTCTGTCGAAAACAATTTAGAGTACGCTAAGGCATTGGAAATGACAAATACGAATATAATTGCCGTGCACTCAGGAACAGGGAAGCTGCTATAAGTGTCAAGCATTTCTTTCAAACCTCCAAGTCATTTATGGCTTTAACGGCATGGAATATTGTGTCGTCCCGGGTCTGAGTAGACAGTGATTAGAAAGCCACGAGTCATGCGTCGACTGAAAATCTAACAAAATCTAGATGTCGCGCATATTTCTCCTAATAAAGCATTGTCTGATCATTAACTCACCTTTGCTAGGAAGAAGAAGTGCCTTTGGTGTAGGCACGAAGCTGCGTCAGCTGCGGTGTAGGACATTGACCCAAATTTGACAGCAATGGCATTGGTAAGTGCTTGCGCAGAGCCCTGGAGGCAGAAACTGGAGTGAGTTGCAATCTCAGGATTATGCTAAGAACAGCAATGGTATTCCACGGCCTCCAGAGCGTGTCTTTGCTGAAATAGAATAGAACGCTCGTATGTCGTGACCCTACAAGTAATTTTCTGGGCAGCAGAAAGGAGCAGTTGTAAGCTGGTGTTTCTTGTGCCGAGGCTAGTAGAGAGCTGTATCAAACGGATTACACCACTCCCTTTCCAGAACTATTGGGGGTAATGAGTAAATTTAAGTCGCGAGTAGAAATCAGCCCTGGAGATAGGATGATAACGTCACGACGTGGCGGCACTAATTTTGTATTACTGACTGGATAGCACATCCACACGAGAGTGACTCTTAACTTATGAACGTAGTGATCAGGCAGCCTCAGGAAGTGTATGTCCTCCCTTACTTCGCTCATCAGGAGCTTATATAGAGCTAGAGATATATCCCAAGGAATGTGTGCAAGAAATTCATTACGATGAGCTTACCGAAATGATACATTATGCACCGGGGAAGGATCCGATCTTGTCATCAGTCATGGATGATCTTTCAGCGAGGACACTGGTAGCTGAGTTAGTGAGGAGAAGGGAAATATTATCTTCAGCGATCCTTGTTATATCGAATTGATGTCAAGAGAGCCCATGAATAGAGTAGTGCGTCATGAAGTCAACTTGGTTCTGAACCCCTATCACATTGCACGGCACTAGCCCTTTCCAAGGGAACAGTGTGTTGTCACTGACGCTTTTTTCGTGCAAAGCACGAAGCGGTACTGGAGAGCGACAGTACATTTTTTTACCCAGCGGTAAATTTCTGTGTCGGATAGGCAAACAATATGTGCGTATTGTGTATGCTTATGATCTTCAAAATGTCTCCAATATATTGGCGCAAATTTTTAATTACTAGAAATAATTTGCTACAGAACAATCCTTGACCAGCGTGATTAATATTATCAACACTAATAAGAGTTGGTGAGTTCCTCATACTGCGGTGTGTACTTTGGGCAGAAGCTCATCATGACACGCGAAGTGTCTGATACACCAGCGACGTACATAGTCTAGCGGTGCATCTGTTTATGCCAGTTCGGGACTTTGAACAAATTTATCCAGACGATATCTTCGCCCACAGTCATATAGAGCACAAAACGTCGGATATAAACAACCAAATTTACCACTTGGAAGCAGCGCTCAAATGTATGCGCTCAAATAAATAGTATAATCTTGTGTGCTGACTTCTTACACATTTGTATCAAATATAATAACATACAATCGTACGAATTTCACATTGCATTTCTGTGTTTCATGAAATTTTTAATGTTCTAGTCTCCTTGAAGATGATGAGCTTCGTAAAAGAGGCGTCCATGGTATGTGTGGGTTTCCAGCCACTAATCCAGTAATAGAGACAATATGGTAAACGCATATTATTCTAAATAGAATAAATCCAGCAATATGTTTCTTTTGAAATTGCAGTGCAAGTTGAGGGTCACTATTAACCTTCGGACATAGAGCCAAGCTCAGAAGTGCTCAAGTACAGTACCATGAAGAATTACCATGAAGAAATACCGATACGGGTAGCCATTGGTTACTCACCTTACGCTCTCAGTTCATAATGCCGATAGCAAGTAGCTGTGAAGAGTGTAACTCTAACTCTGATAGTTTTTCGCTATGAAATACGGTGCAGCATAAAGATGTTATGAGTCCGCGTACTTCGCACGCCCTGCGAAGGTGCGCATATTATCTAATAATTATATAAAAGTTTATGAGTAGTATGCTAATTCAAAAAAGTTACATTTATATAGAATAGTTTCAAGTTTTAATTGATAAGAAAATGAATACAATATCTCGGTGATAAAACTATAAAATTGGGATGGAATGTTTTGATATGTTTCCAATTAGCCTGATGTCTAATTTCTAGATTAAACATGAAGTTTTGCTGCCATCAAAATGTGAGTATTTATACCTTCTAGTTTACTTATGAACCTCCGATGGCGAGACCGACAGCCTCCTTTCTGCTCGCTGAGACTGCGGTACGATTACCATCAATAATTATTCTGCTTTGACCGTCTAAAGGGTTCAATGACGTATCTATCATGTGATTTCTTTTCTGTCTAAATTTCAAGGACGAATTTATTGAGCTCGAAAGTGCGCGGCGATGGAATCAAGCACGTCGAAAACGTTGGTCAGCAGAATTTCGCGTTGTAGCTCACAAATCGCATCTTGAAGAGAAAGTTGCTCAAGCTCGACGACATAAGTTTTTGCTTCGTAGTGACAACAAAGCTTCGATATTGGATATCATCGACATAGTGAGAGATCTTGCGAATGAAGGGGTACACAAAGACATTAAAAGTGAAGGTTTGCAATGTAGCTGGAATTCAGTAGAGCGAGATCGAATGAAAGCATGGGCTTCGGACGTTGAGAAGTTGCTTTGTGAATTTAAACCAAGTGTAAATCATCTTAATGATCCACTGTTACAAATTGTTGAGTTTCTCCAATTTCTTCTAGACGGCGATGTATGTCTTGCTGAAGCGAAAATGTACGCTGGGGCACTCCTTGAACGATGGGATCGTGCGGGTGTATTCAGTGTAGACTCTATCAGCGATGGCGATAACAAAGATAATAATGTCACAAACGAATACCACGATCCCAAATGCGAAATTTCGAATCCAAATCGAGCAAAAGACAGCCTTTTGAATCTGGCACGACCAGATGCTTATCAAAGCGTTCGACAACGTGTTGCAGCACGTATAATTAAGCGTCATGTAATTACTTGGAAGCGATCAAAAGATTTCTTAAGCAAGCGCGTGACCGAGATCGAAATTGCTGAAAACAGGACAGAACAACTTTTTCAAAGTCCTCGGCTAAAAAATGCAGCTTTTGTGAACAGCAACATTAAAGGGATTAAACATGATCTTGCACTGACACAACGCAATCCTAAGCCGAGATGTAGCGATTACATCATTTTCAACGACTTACGACAATATTCCAAGTACATGGCTCTCTTTCCTATTGATCAGGCTCTGCGTTCTGTAGAGGATGTCAGTCGACGTCGCTACCTTTTTCTCACGCGCTGTGCAATTAAAATACAAACTTTGTGGCGTCAGGTTCGTGAAGCCGTGCAAACGCGTCGACTTCATCGTGCATTCGAAGATCTACTCTTGCAACAGAATAAAGAAGATCAAGCCAGGCGTAAAGCAATGAAGGAAGCGAAACGAAAAAAGTCAATTGATGCAGGAAAACCGAAGATAAGAAAAGTGTTCAGAAGGTCAAGCACTGCAAAATCCTCCATGATCTTGCAAACAAGCTCAAAGTTGACCTATACATCCAAAGATAAGATTCTTAATGAAAGAACGACGACACAATCGACTCGTGCACCATCATCAATTCTTAATGCGATGCCAAAACTTATTTCTCCTTCCGACCCACCTAATACTCGCGGCAGCACAATTTCGGCGCCTTCATCAACTTCACAAAACAACCAGCAATATTCTGCCATTGGCGGTACGAGCAACAATGATAGTGGTGACATCAATGCAGACGTTGAGAATGTGTGGAAGCCCGTCATAGAAAATGATGCGGCGGACTTAATCTTACCAACTGCTCTGAACGACACTAATATCCTTCCTCCGCTTGATAATATTCCAGCTAGTGCCTTTACAGTATCAAATATAATGTCAACGAAGAACACGTGGGAATCTTGGTCAGATGACGAAGTAGAAGCGATTTCAACTGAAGATCTGCCCGCCATTGAAAAAATCGAACCGGAGACAATCCTTAATATCGAGGCGAAGGACAATATTGCGAAAATTGAGACAGAGGCTAATACTGAAAAATCCAAGACGGAGGCCATTTCCGAAAATGTCGACACAGAGATTATCAATGAAAATGTCGAGACAGATAATCAGCTTGCTTGTATATCAATTCTTTCGCAGCCGACAAGTCCAGTGCTGCCTTCTATTTCCCAGATGAAGGTGGTTGTTACCATCAAAACGAGCAATGAGCCTGAAGCTGCAGGTCGCCAATCACTTGACACTGAATTTACGACGTCGAAAAGCAATCAGAATCGACCTCAAACGAAAATGAGTAATACACCACCTTCATCGCTTTCGTCAGAATCCACAGTCAAGAATCACATTGGCCCATTCTTTGGAGCTGCGATGGCGCCTTTTGTTGATACCGAAATAAGCAAAAAGTCGCAGGTTAGTATTTCTACAAGGCCAAAACACTTGTATGAGCTCGACTTCAACAAAAATGATAGGATGGATGCTTCATTTGTTCACGTCACAGATGCTCGCGGACTGTTACACGAATTTAAAGAGCAGCTCGAACAATATGATCGATCACCGGCTGAAGTGATTCCGATTGTTACAGCTGAAGTGAAAAGTAGACAAACAACGTTTGCCAGACTTCGAAGTAACATTGATTCGAAAGAACAAGGCATCAACAATCACGAACGCGGACATTTGTATGATCATCGCTTAAAATCAAGTCAGAGTTCTCATTCGAATAGCAAACCAATTCAGCTGGAGTACAAAGGTACGATACTCAGCATTCTTGTACAACGCTTCAATCCTGACAATCCAGAATGTTTACGAATAGACTCTAGCTTTCAACGGGAGACTATCATTCGTGAAGGTCTAATGGAATCCTCATCAATGCCCGTGCAACCAGAAAAGAAATTAAAAAATGCAATTGGACTTAGCGACTTAGAATCAAAGGGAAGACCCAGCTCTCAATTTACAGCGCTTTTACAATCCTCCGAACTGCCCTATCCTCCTGTCGATCGCTATCGTCCTCATTACAGGAGACAAATCAAAGCAAATGAATCAAACATCAGCTCAACTAAATTAAAATTGATCGATTTGGTTACAAATAAAGCTGTTGATGATTCGGAAAGATATTATGAGAATACATTGCTGCGGCGTCGGTCATCAACCACAACTTATCAACAAGAGATCGAAGAAACAAACACTTTGCCAAAAAATCACAAAGATATTGGCATCATAAAAACTTCGGAACCAAATGGACAATTGTGGAAACGCAGCCGAAAGCTGCCAGATATTGCATTGGCCCAAATTCGCGATCGTGCAATCCATCACCAAGGAAAGTCAAATTTAACTGGACGAACTTCTATTCGACTGGTCCGGAGAACCATCGCACCCAGATCATCTGAAGCTCAACCGGAGACAATATTGTTAGTTGGTGGTGATGTCAAAGATCACAACGGTGTTGAAAGTTACCGAAATACTGGCAGAACCGAAGAATGTGAATCTTCTGAGGTCGTCAAAGGCAACATTGAAAACTACGAAGGTGTCGACAGCAAACAATACATGGATAAAGGTGCCATAATCGAGAAGTTCGAGCGTCTGAATCTGCTAAGTCGCGAGCGTGAGCTCAGTCATCATCGCACACAGCTCACTCAGCTTCAAAGCGACAAAAATGTAGCTTTAGAGCAAAATCAGCGACGCACAATTGCTGCTGGTCAAGAGCTTAAGCATAAACAGCAGCATATTCGACGGGAACGCGAGAAGAGCAATGTGAAAAGTATGAGCGAGGCAAGCAAATTCAAATTCTCTGAACTAGTTAGTTCGTCTGGATGGCAAATCGACAAAACCGACAAGGGCATGAAGAACTCGACACCTCGACGACTGCGTGTGAAGACACGAGAAGTTAAAGCAATTTCATCTCAAATGCTTTTCGATGAAGACAGTGAGAAAGTCGAAAATAGTGCGAAGGAAGAGGCAAAGATTGAGTGCAACACAAAGCAGCAAGAGCGTGACGCTGCATTCGTAGAACTTTTAACGCAGTATCTTGGATTATTGCAATGTGCACCAGAAGAATTAGTTGGCAAATTAAACTAAAGATGGTGTTTCAAGCTTTACGTATATGTGGTCGACACACAACGTACTGACTCTAAATTAACAACCGAGTACTCAACGAGCAACCTGCACCACCAGGTCCTTCCAATATGGATGCGTCCGGTTCGGTCGCTCCTGATGACGAGATACTTACACTTACATTGCATGATGTCGAGGAATCCGAACGGCGTCTACCACCTAAGCCACGTGCTACTGTTGAATCCTCTTTTGAGAATTTTACTCACGAGAATGCAGAATCGAGTGAACATCTGTCCATGCCACTAACACTTCCTCCTTCACCTACACTGCTCCCACTGGGTTCTTCACCGTCTTCCACTGTTTCTCATCATCGTCAACACCAACTAAGTGTACATCAGTATTTTCAATCTGTAAACGGGAGCGCAGGAGACTTTAACACCGAGATGCAGAATTCTAACGAAGAATATCGCCGCTTAACTGACGCAATTCAATTAAGCGTACCGTCCATGACCGGTTCTGGAACCGGTACAAATGAACGCTTAATTGGACAGACAAATGACCAAGACATTCCATCCACTTCGACTCCTTTACGCAAGAACAAAAAGAGGAAACAGGGTGCGAACGTCAGTATTGACTTGCAGACCAAGATTCGCCTTATTGAGGTAGCTGAACAGTATCAGTATGATCCCAAAAGCTCCAGTCGAAGTAAACCAGACGGCGGTTTACCGAGTCAATGTAGGGAGGTTGTGAATGGTATTCGATTGGCTGAACAGTTTGGACTTAACAAAAGCACTGTGAGCCGCATACTTAAACGCAAAGAGGAGTTTAAAAAAGCGTATTACAAGGACAATGTCTCTGGCTGCTCCAAGCATATTAACAAAAAGTCTAAATTTGAAAAGCTTAATCGACTCGTTGAAAATTGGTTTGACATGAATCGAGAGAAAAATGGCACAATAACGGACACGTTAATTCGTGAAGTTGGTAAGAGATATGCACAGGAACTTGGTATTGAAGATTTTCGAGGGTCCAATGGTTGGGTGCGCAGCTTACGCAATCGAAAGCAACATGCTGCACGCAATATTGTGTCGATTGAAGAGCTAGAAAATGAAAAGAGGAAAAAAGAGAATGAGGCTATTGCACGTATGCGAAGTATGTTTCCAAATGGTGTAAAAGACATAGCTGGATTTTTCAAGGACTTGTCGACATTTTTAGAAAAAGACGGTGGTGGAATGAACGACTTTGGTGATGTGAACAGCAACCCTTGCAGTAGTTCTAATGGTAGCGCAAGAGATGCGGCTGTTATGCTGACCGGCGCGTCTTATACGGATATGGACGACAGTACACCCCACGAGGATGACGAACGAGTCGCTGGAGAGTCTTTAAAAAAGAAGATGATCGACTCACTACGCGTTTGGTCACAAGAGCTTATGGCGTCTGAGCTTGCTAAGCTTAAGAAACGTATGAAACCACGGCAAGCGGCTATTTTGTAGCGATGTGCGCCAAACAAGCAATAGTTGGTTCTGTCATGATAATTTTGGCACTTTTTTATATACCCTATTACTTAAAATTGCTACCCCAGTACCGAAAACGAAGTCTCGTGTCTGATACGAAGCATGTCTCTAATATTTCTCCATCTATAGTAACTCAGCGATGTCTTCACGTCGACGAAAATTCTCGACGAGGATCTCGTGGACACCAGAAGCCTCAGTAGAGGATGAAACCTCCAATCGACATGTAGACAGCAGCTCTTTGCCACAGAGTTGCGACGAGCAGAGCAGTCTGACAACTCGTTCATTACCTTTAAGCCGAGAATGGCCCACACATGGCAGCTACTCTTCGATATTTGGGTGATCATTTCGGTGATTTATAAACAATTTCGGTGACTTAAAATGATTTACAAACAGAATCGGGGGATCGCTTGTAAATTACTGCGCATATTTTCGCGACTATTGAAAAAGCCAAGTTCTTTGTTGTCATGGTGCGACTTTACAGTGACTCAATAATACCAAGTGACTTGTCCACTCAGCGAAGTATTGGAGCACGTGGGAACCAGCTAAGTAGAACGTTAATCTCTCAACCTACCCTTGAGTTGCAATTCGTTTTGAGCTTGTTAAACTATTTTGAGGGATGCATGTAAGTAGACGATGAGATCACCGAGTTGGTGCTGACAGATACAAGATTATTATTCGTTCAGGATGAGGTCAGATAGTACTGAATACCGCGAATAAGCCGATGTTGTATCCGATTTCCAAGTAGTTCAAGGCCACCTTTTATCCTTCGCTGAAGGAATCCACGAAACGACTACAAGGGACCCGCCACAAGTGTTGCCCCAAAATCGGGATGCCTGTTATGAGATCGCCTAACTCCTGGAACGACACTGCGTGACGAACCAATGACCCATACCAAGGGAGCAATGCTTTAATTTTTCTTTCGCGCAAAGTATGAGACGATTTTGAAAATGAAAAATCAAATCTATACATACAATGCCGACTTTCTTTCTGACAGGGCTAACGGCAGGCGGCAAATCGTGCATGCTTTAAGCCCACATTTCGGCGCAAACTTCAATTTTTAGAAAGGAGGGCGTGCAGATTAGCATACTCAGTATAGCGCTCTTGGCTCACTTGATAGGCATTGCTAATTATGTTGCGAGTACGGACTCATCTTACTACGAGATAATACTTCAGCAACTATCAACTGTCTAGTAACGTCTCAGTAGTTTGAAATTAATTTTTGTTAGGGTTTATTGCAAAAGGTGATACAAACAGAAAATATTCGCGAGATGTGATACAATTGTGTTTTAAACACTAGAAATACGAGACCTGGTAAAATTACCGAGTGTAGCCATTCTTAGTTCACCGTTACATTGAAGGCGTGTGCCATGGAGATGGAGAAATTCAAGCAGAAGAGATGGAATAACGGCAAGGAGGCTGTGCGAGCAATCAAAGATGTCGCACTAGCCAAAGGAATTGTGCAATCATATACACATGCATCGTTTGAAGGATGTCACTAAATATCTGCATCGCTGTAGCATCAGTACATGATGCGACCTTGTTTAGTGACTAGTTTGAACTGGATTTTCCTGACTTTGAGACTGTGAATCTGAGCGTTAGCAGCCTAGTTCCGAGTTGCGAGGTTGTGGTATGGGTACCTACATGATGTGGTAATCTGCTTGTGAATTATGGAGGACAAATGATCCATGGATAAAATTCGGTTTTATGGTGATAATGCATTAAATAAAGCCGCAAAGAAGTATTCTATTTACCAGTATCAATTTAGAAAAACACCAGCAACCTGAGTCCTGGAATGTTCATAACATCTAGCATCCTGGTGTGCTTACCGTCCATCCCAGTCAGCATGACAGTTTCTTAACCAAGAACACGCAAATTCTTACGATCTGCAATGATCACATTGAAATTAAATAGGTCTTCACGGTATGATGTAACGGATATTTACGAATAGTGATCGGTCTTTTATTTATTAGTAGCCTCAAGAAATCGACCACTTTTGACAGGAGGTCTACAATTCGTAGAGGGCTACTATATCTCGACGACATCAACGTCATTTAGGGCTTGGTCGAGTTCGTCTACATTGAACGGATCATCCCTTATTTCACTGTCGGCATTGCTCCACCTTTGCCGAAG